CTTCTTGATCTCGTCATAGTTGTTTGGGACTTCCATAGGTGCTCAAGTGCAAATACAGACTAAGCCTCGCAATCAATTTCCGCTTGTACTCCTCGGCATTAGCCATTTGCAAATTCATGTATCCATCCACTGTCACGAGGATACCTTTATATTTCATACCCACTCTAACCTACCTTTATATTCCATACCCCACTCTAACCCACCGCACACAATCGGTTTACCAGTCAGGGAAATAAGAAATGGCTTCGCATTCACGGGCTGGAGGGTTGACATAGCCCAGGAATTCTTAAACTTGGATGCTTGGCCCTTAACTGTACTTCTGTTGTTTGTGAATGTGCACCAGGCACGTTTTCAGTACAAGTACTATCCATTTATGGATGTAGAGAACAACCGCGCTTCGCGCCATGTTCGACAGTTATTCTTCCTTCTTTAAGCTCTGCTCCACCTTTCGCGTTGCAATTGCATCCTAAACACATACTGCACAAAAGGAAGCTGACTCATTAAGCTGATGTAAAGCCTGAGCACGCACAAGCTTCTGCTGCATTTGCTGGTAAGCAGTCATGCGATTCATACCCAGATTTCTAGGACAATCCCGTAGCATCAAATTGACTGCTCGTCCATAAGCGCTCATGTTCTTATCGCGTCCGTAATCATTCCAAGCCCTCTTTAATTCCTCTACAGTTAGTTTTTTCTTCAGCATGAGCGAACAAGGTGTTTTGTCGGGAACAATCCCCAACCGAATCCTTCTTGGACACCTTGGACACGAGAATTTTGGCAAGAAGACGATCCTGACAAACTTAACCTGGTCTCGATTGAGAGCCGTTTTCATCCAGTTCGTTGGAGTTGAACAAATAGAGTTCTTCTAAATTATGGCCATCGTAATGTCGTTGGAACCGAGCTGCGGCGACAACCGATATTAAGTTGATTCTTTTGTTACATGACGCTTGTAGATCCATTCATCCTTATTGCCTTGTGCGAAAAAATGTAGACCGGCTTAGTTTGACCAAATTCATAGACACGGAAAAGCGACTGGGTGTCGTGAGATGTGTTCTAGACCGTGACCTCCGCTTTTGAAATGTCGCAGGACTTTGTTGGATGCTTGCCTCCTGTCATCTGCGTTTGCATATCAAGAATTTTGCCTAAGTTTCCAGTGTTATTCCCGCCGACGTACTCCTCGGCATTAGCCGTTTGCAAATTCATGTATCCATCCACTGTCACGAGGATACTTTTATATTCCATACTCCACTCTAACCTACCTTTGTATTCCATGTCTCCTGTCATCTGTGTTTGCAGATCAAAAATTTCGCCTAAGTTTCGAGTGTTACTTCCGCCGACGTGCTCCTCGGCATTAGCCGTTTGCAAATTCATGTTATCCATCCACTGTCACGAGAATACCTTTATTTTCCATACCCCACTCTAACCTACCTTTATATTCCATATCCCACTCTAATCCACCGCACACAAACGGTTTACCAGTCAGGGAAATAAGAAATGGCTTCGCATTCGCGGGCTGGAGGGTTGACATAGCCCAAGAATTCTCAAACTTGGATGCTTGGCCCTTAACTGTACTTCTGTTGTTTGTGAAGGTGCAAGAGGCTCGTTTTCAGTACAAGTACTATCCATTTATGGATGTAGAGAACGACCGCGCTTCGCGCCATGTCCTCGATAGTTATTCTTCCTTCTTTAAGCCTGCTCCACCTTTCGCGTTGCATTTGCATCCCAAACACATACTGCACAAAAGGAAGCTGACTCCACAGTTTTGCAGTAATAATTGTAGACTCGTTATTTATCCTTTATCCTTATTTATTATCCTCTTATTTCTAAAAAATTGTAGCGCCAGATGGGTTATTACAGAGGCTACTGAGAAACGTTTGATGTGTCAATGATAAGACAAAAAAACAGAGCAAGTAGAAAATAAATAGCTTATTGCCCAGATACATGTTATATGATTTTATCACACCCATAATATGTAGTATTCTACAACTGCATCAAGCAGAAGCCGATAAAAATCTTATAAACAATACAGCGAGTTCTGCTCCCCTGAGCACTATGAGAGCAGTAACGAACTGGTCTTCAACGATTTCGCTTTCTTCAGCTAACCCATGATGCGGTTTACCGTCTTACCGCATTGGACAACTTCTTCTGTTCAACAGCCCTCTGGAGTTACAGGGCTTCAGAATACTCAACATCAAACCTAATAAAGGAAAAATAGATGTGGTTAGAACCTGGGACGATTCGATGGATCCCGCATGTGGACCATCCCTTGATGCAAACAATGCTTCACGACTTTCCCGCCACATAGGCCGTTGGAGGCACGTACCGTCCCCGCATCGATGGTGGCCTAATGCCAGGCTCTGGACCTGGCTGCTCATTTTGTCATGCATATTCAGCTGGCATCCGATCGTTGATAAAGACTGTCGGCTGAATATCCCCTCGTCTTCTTGGTCAAACATGAAGTCTCCATTAGAAGTTTTATTCAAAGCTGCCGCTGATGTGTTTATTGGATGATAGTTGTCATATCCACGAACGTAAATGTGTGCAATGAAGCTTCAACCAGATATTGTCAAAATTACCCCATTTGGTTCCCTTGAGGCAGCTGGCTTTGCAATTTCGTTCTTTTCTTCTACCGTCTAAACCTATTTGCCCTACCTATGGGAAAACCAATCTATTCCTAGTTCCTTATCTCAAGCATCGCAACTAGGAGCATCCTTCGTGTTCATGAGTGCTCTTTCAAACACTGAATGTAAAGGCTAGGTAATTGAACAGCCTCGCTGATATGAACCCACATTTACCCCGACTCGCAAGTGGTTCCCGACTGCCATTGACCGTTTTCGATGGCATACGTCAAACGTATGTCTCCCAGGCAGCGGGTTTCTTTCGCATGTATTCTCCTGACTACATATGTATTGCGCAGCTCGTAGATTCCAGCTGCGGCAGCCACATGCAGTGGGGTTTACATAGGACGTTCCAAAGTGAAAAATCTGCAACGTACGAATACATAAGCCCGCTCCCCTGTGGCCGTTTTAATGGCATACACGAGGGCAAGTCTCCCACTGCATCGGGTTTCGTTCGCATATATTTCCTCTGACTGCATATGTGTTGCACAGCTCGTATATTCCAGCTACGGCAGCGACATGCTATGAAGTTTGCATGGGACATTCAAAGGTAGAAAATCTGAAGTGTATAAGAGATCCGTTAGGTGACATGCGTGCATGAGCCAATTCCCGCATAGGTACGCTTCCCACGGCAGCGGTCCGCAAGTATTCCCCCTGACTGCATATTTGTTGCACACCTCGTAGTTGTCCAGCTGCGGCAGCCACGTGCAATATGGTTTGCACAGGAATCTGCGATTGACATATGGTCGTTTCGATGGCACACGCCGGGTAGTCTCCCAACCGGTTCGCACACATTCTCCCTGATTTCATATGTGTTGCACAGATCGTAGATGTCCAGCTGCGGCAGCCACATGCAATGGGGTTTGCATAGGACGTCGTAAGGTAGGAAATCAATTGAATATTAAATGTGCCGAGAATCCTGAAGTCTCCCCATTATATTGAACACGCACAGAAATGGAGAGCCTTCCATTTTCGGTGCACTGCATCAGGAAGTCGCTGTACGAAAAGATCGGAGTGCTCACCACTGCTTTCGATGGATTCAGAATGATGCTCACAGTATAAGCAGTATCAAATCTCGATGGCGCTCACGAAAGCAACACAAAATCCAAACGAAAGGCAAAATAGGGTTGAGAAGTTCCCAAAACAAGCAATGCCGTACTGCTTTCGGTGCGGTGCGACCCTGCACCCACAGCTGGATAACCGCTCCTTTAGCCCAATAGATAAATCAAAAGGCAACCAAGGAAGTTGTGGTGTGAGATTCTGTCAAATGTGAACTGAACCCACGATTGGATTAAACTGCTCCATTGGATGTTGACATGAAGAATCTGAGCAAGAAATTAAAGCAACTCGATGTAGCCGACCAACGAAAGAATCGAAGCTAGGAAGCAACATGGAAGAAGAGTAGATAGCTATCATATCCACTACTCCGATATCAATGGTAGGGCTCCTTTACTTAAATTCTGCGCCCCGAGGAACGCATGACAACAACGACTGAAGCACGGAGTTCCTCACAGGCTGGTTTACTGTTTTGTTAACTGTTACCTTATCTGTGAAAATTCTATGTTCAATGTTATGTGCTTATATTCACTTACATATCTAACAGACTAACACAGACTTGATGCTTTTTTGCTTACTTTCATAATCATAATTTGCTTACAAAGTATTGTTATCAACGTAAACACAACTTCTCACAGTTGCTTCCGTTACTCACAGTCACAGTCTCAATTTCACGTACTGCCCACGTATTACTCGTATATTGTTTGTCGGTATATTGGTCGTTACGATGCTTGTTAGTGTTTCCACAATAACATTTGATTATGCAGGTTTGAGGTACGCGATGTGCGCGGAAGTCCCGCCTGCCAACCAACCAATCAACACAAACCGTAGCGAATTAGCGCATTCCCCATAGATGTTACATAGTATAGCGAAAGCATGTCACTGCCCGCTGACCTGTGAGCTGACCATGATATAGCTACGGCCTATACCTCAGACCCCGCTATACCTGATCCGCTTGATCCGCTTCGTGCAAAACGCGCGTCACTAATTTGTCATTTGGCCGTACAGCGAATTTGCCGTAACCACACAAAATTCCTTTTTACCTATGCGGCGTCAAATGACAAAGTGCTGTGTGCGCGCGTTTTGCACGAAGCGGATCAAGAGGATCAAGCATGGCAGGTGCCTCAGACCTCATTCGTTGAGTGCGGCATTACGACTCTTCCTAACTCCCCGTACGCAAGTTTCGTTTAAGACTTGATGAGTTTGCGATAGCTTGCAAAAGTTACGCGCCTAAACACAGAACCGCCTACGTGAGCCTAGATATCTGGCATCGTTAAATCGCGGAAATTTTTAGCGATTCAAAGGAATTGAAGGAGGTAAAAAGGCTTAAGTCTGTCTTTGCAATGTCAAAATGAGAAATAAGAAAGAATGAGATAGCTGACGTGCTTGTGCAAAAACCACGCCTATACAAAAATTTTTGATTTCTGCTATTAGGTCTTGAGGGTTCAAGCGCGATGAAGGTAAAGTTGTGGAAGCTAATGTAGAATGAATAAGCATTTGAAACATAACAATGAATGACCGATTACCTGCATCCCTACATCAGCATAAACAGACACATAAAACGAAAGGAATGTTATGAGGCTCATAGTGTTCTGATTGGAGTAATGAGTGTCAGCTTCTCCAATTTTTGAATTTGGCAAGATAAAGGCTGATGCATGACGAAGGCGCAGAAGAAGTATTAGTTGAGCGGGCGCGAACGCGGCGCGCGCGTATTCTCACCGTTGTAAATCCTGCGCCTCATGCGCTCTGCGGCTAATATAGCCGCGATCGCACCCAAAGGTATTGCGCCTTCGTCATGCAGCAGCCTTTAAATTGATCATGCAACATAAACAACTAATTTGACGATATATTCCCTAACCCTATACAGAAATCTAATGCAGAGCTCTACACACTCTGCAACGAAAATATACTTATCTATTGCTCAGACCGCATAGCGCTGAGTCCAAATACGAGCCATTTTGTCAAATTCGCTCCGATTCTCTCTATAGAGTTTGGCGATGGAAGGAACAAGAGCTTCATCTGAAAAGATTCAAATTTGTACGTATGAATCTTTCTCAAAAAAAACATAAGCTTCGTGCCTCCTCTCACCTGGATTGCAGCTAAACATTAGTGATCTGAGGGCTATTAATACTGTTCGAATTGACATTGTAGGCTTCCAATTATCGTTTAGAACATCTATGCAGACCTATAAAACGTAATTCTGCTTCTTCGTAACTGAACGATGCATAGGTGAAGTGCATGAACAGTGCAAGTTTCCAGAACCAGGTAACGGAAAGACGAAAAATTAGTAATTTGATTACTTTGAAAGAACATTATAGTGGCAGATTGTGTGAGTTTCCAAGAAAAAAATAAGGCTTTCATTCAAAAAAGTCAACAGTGGATGTATGAGAAATGGACGCAAGATTGAAAATTTCCCACCTCTCCTTGAGCGTTGACATTGCAGTGATATATTCTCGTCAGAAATTCGACCTTTAAACAAAACACACATTTAGCATCGGATAAGAATCAGCAAAATTTCCTACCTTAGGTGGTGTGATCGGGTAGCTTAGCGAGACATGAATATTGCAAAAGAATGTGCCACCTTCATAAACACTTCCGGGTGGACCTTCTATCACCACTGTCCACAGGAAAAGGTCATCAGCCTAGAAAGAATTTCCTAAATGTTATAATAAAATTAAATTGAGTGATTTCACCTTAGGAGAGGCGTAGCATCCGGGTGGGGCATCGCTTTGAATAGCGGTTTCCTCGTTAAGTAATCTGGTAATCACTTCCGTTCGATCATCTCGTCCAGCATCAGTTCTCTTCGCTGCTCGCTGACTTTGCAGTACACCGATCTTACGTCGCAAGATACGACGGACCTAGACGAAGGGACATCAAATTTACGAAAATAACGTGCAAGTTGGATACCGGTGTTGGCGGCCTGGGAGAGGTGCGAGGAGGTGAAGCCGACGGTAAAGGGCTGGTAGTAGTAGAATCAGCGCGGGAACTTGAAGGAGTATGAGGACCATCTAGTTCTACAGAAAGCATAGGTATGACCCGTCCGCTAGCAATGACTCCATGTTCTCCTCGTATTCCTGAAACTTTGATAGTTTAAGTAGCAATCACAGCCGCATCAGGCCTCGGACATAGTTCACGTGATTTCGTCGCCTCGCAATTTTTCTAGACAACTGTTATAAGTTCCACTGCTTGTCGGAATTAGAAAATGATTTGCAATGAACTCGTAACAGTTGCCTTGTGAGAGATGGCGATGAAACACCTTAAACTATGCCCAAGGCCTTATGGGAAAGATTTGCCAAATAGTTCCTCAGCAAACATAATACGCAACGATATTCATTATATTCACATAACCGTCGCTTACAGAAACAGAAAATTCGATTCAAAAGAAAAAAATTAAAATCAAAGGTCATGCTTCTATATACCTTGCCCAGGCTGAACCGTGCGAGTAGCAGTGTCATCAACAAAGCGGAGCATTGATGCTGCCGCTTGTATGGCATCATTAGTTGTACGCAACGTTGAATATAATGACGGTCTTGCTTCGTTTGTTCGAGGCATTCTGCATTTCAGACATGTAGTAAGCATCTTTTACACACAAAATCATGCATCACACAGGATAACCTTTGTACAAAATACCATTAGAAAAGTCACCACTCCTAGATAACCTTTGATTCAACTGGCTTGGCGGCTCAAAGGCGGGGCTTTGTGACCTAATTTAGGCCGCTCGCGCGTGCTCTCTGATCATCACTAGCCTTAATTAGGTCACGAGGCCCCTCCTTCCAGCCGCCAAGCTAGTTGAACCAAAGAACACCAAGGAAAGCGTGAAATGTTAGGTAGGTGCCAGAGTAAGCGAATATTGGGTGGAGGACTATATGTCGCCGAATTTGAAAGAATCCCGCGCGGATTCCCTGCAGGAACGCATGTCCGCGCATGTACAAGGATGCTTATTTGTCGCAAATGACCGCGGGGACCGCCCTTTTTCGGCGACATATAGTCCTCTACCCGCGAATATTTTGTTCAAGTTGGGGTCGCGCGCAGAACTGGCATCACTAATCATTGTGGCATAATGCCAAGTTGGCGTTGTGCCACAATGATTAGTAACGCCAGTTCTGCGCGGGACCCCAACTTGAACAAAATATTCGCTTACTCTGGCACCTACCTTAGATCGCACACATAAACACGAAAATATGAGGATATGAAGATATCTACAAATATCTGCTTGAGACCTAGGCAACATCCTGCCCAAAACCTACTAAGGAGCATGAAAGGGGTGGGGAGAGGGTAATTGGCAGTCTCCCGATGTCTGGTCGGGTGGTTTTGTAGTCATACACAGGCGCCCATTTAGGCGGTTCTATCGTCATAAATAAAAGCCCAGAACTCCCTTTATAAAAACAAGTCGGTGCCCGGACAAACATCCCGAATTCGCTGCGCACGCAGGACAATGAATTTCGTGTGTAAGTCAAGGACGATTCCAAGTGTAATTATCTCTAGTCTGTCATCGAACAGCATATATTTAGAACTTCAGCGAGTTTAGATTCGACTGTCTTCTTCGATGGAAATCGCATGGATTGTAGCATTTTAAGGCAAGTTCATGGTTGAACTTGACTGTAAAGGTCAACAGAATATGAGAATATCTATAACAAGAAAGCAGAAGTGCGCTCGAAAAGAAAGTGACACCACTTCATTAATGTTGTTTCAAATCTGCAACATAAGCATCAAATCCCAAGAATTTTATCTTCAGATATCCAGTGTAACCATTTTATCTTCATTTTCATCAGAGGGACTAAGTTGGAAATCTGAGTTGCACTGATTAACTTCAATTGTTTATGAACACTCGACTGAATCAAATTGATTTTCAAAACTGCGCAAGCTCCATTTGATTCACCCCACCTCTGCTAAGGCTCACACAGAAACAGGATGACCACATTTACTGCTTATTATAGACTCATCCCAGTAAAAAAAGCCCAATAGGCTTGGCGGTTACCAACTCATGTAAAGAGAAAACCCGATTAGGCTTTCGTAGTAAAATTGCAAGAAACTCTTAACTTCAATAGAAAAAATCGAAGAAGAACGCTCATGCATGCGTTTATGAATGTACCATAAAAGGTCAAAACCAATTATCTGGTACAAGAATGACTGAAAGATAAAAATAGCTTTATCAATAGTAAGACATGCAGAAAATACTTCACAAAAAAAATTCTTCTGACCAAACACCACTGGACGGGGGACTTAAGCATACAGCGTACAGCAGTTTTGCGGCATATATTTGAATGTGATCGACTTAGTGTTAGGACGAGACTACAGCGTGACAAAATCGGATGAAGAAAATCGACAACAAGTGAAGCTAGATGAATGAGAAACAACTAAATGTAGATTCTCAATAAACCGTTATGAAAACTTTTATGTCTCATAATCGAAACAAAAAGAAATCTGTAGATTTGTGTACAGGGAAGTTCGCCGGATATATGACATTATGAATAAATAAGTATAGAAATTGCGAAAAAAGGAATGAAGAACAGCACTAATCGGTGAAGAAAAAGGCTTCCATCGTTGACAAAAACAAAATTCATATACATCTTTTCTGTAAGCAAAAAACACGGAAAATTATGAAGAAAACAAAGAGTGGGCCCGAAAGGTGGGGGAATATGAGAAATCACAACACCTCACACAAAACCCTAGCGACAAACACACAGCGGATATGATGCCAGCTCTTATACGCAACCCCTCATTGGTCAAATCTAGATGTGATATAGACAAACATGCAGACAGAAAGAGCTGCTGTACGCATGTCGGCAGTGAAGAGGCGAGGTGTGCTCTAGCTCTTCGATTACCCCACTACTTGCAGCAATTACCCTTCTGTGCCTGTTGTGGTTGATTCATATCCACTGTACCGCTAGGCTCACCGGCTGGTGGACCAATCGGGAGTTTTTTCGCGATTGCCATGAAGATATCGTTCACATTCATCGACGTCTGCAGTCAATGATCGATTTATCATATGAATCGATGTAAAATGGAGAAGAATTCAAAAGGTGCAAAAAATACTTGTTGCGAGAAGTAGTAATGCACAAACCTTTGCTGAAGTCTCCATAAAAAGAAGAGCATTGTCCTCGGCATAGGCTTGAGCTTCCTCATACTCAACTGTTCGCTGGAATGAGATGTGATATTAACAAAGTTTGAAGACATTATAACAAATTAAGTCTTCTCGAAAAGAAAATAGCTTTGCTGTCTGGTTCTCTGTTCGATTGTTGTCAGTATAAGGATGCCGGTGACTAAAGACCACTCTTATTGAATCTATCAACCGCAAAAAAGAGAATTCTGCAGAGTGACTCGCAACGTGACCAAGCACCATATTTAAAGCGCACGTAGCAAACACGAAAATAGCAGAAAAATAAAAAAACAACTATCTTGAAACTAATTTCGAATGCTCTGGATTTTGTTCTTTCAAAAAATTTTCTGCAACGCAGATACACGATGGACACAGGTGGAGAACAATATGGGATTCGAAGCGTATAACACTCACTAAGCATCGTGAATAAAGAGCATGTGCGACAATCAAAGCTTGCGTGTTCTCTCATTGTAAAAAGGATGGACGGAAAATGTACGCACTTCCAACAGCAGCATATCATCTAATGGAAAATGCGACGCACCCTATTAGCCATGTCGGCCTTGTTACCCGCTAGAGCCATAACTATATTTGGAGAGGCTTGCCGTTGAAGCTCTTTCACCCAGTTTTTTGCTTTTTGGAAAGATTCCTGGAAGTAAATTTGTAAATAAAGAGTAAAGCAAGCGAACTGAACCAAACCTGATTTGTAATATCGTAAACAACAATCGCAGCTTGTGCACCTCTGTAGTACATAGGAGCTAGTGAGTGGTATCGTTCCTGGCCTGCTGTGTCCCAAATTTCAAATTTCACCGTAGCGTCATCAAGGCAAACCTAGAAACAAGAAAATTGAACGTTCAAGTTCTTACAACTTCTATCACTTTCAAACTTCAAATGGACGATATCCGTTCTACTTAAATTTTGATTCATGGACACTATCATAAGGCAGCAACAACGTTTTGAAAATAATTGGAAAATACTAATTTTTCTGAACAATTGCAAAATTGAAAATTGAACAGAACTTTAGACTCGTGGTCCAGCAAAATTACATAAAGGGGAAATCGGACCGGGATATATACCCTAAAAATACTCATGCGTAAATGAAGTAAATATTCAAAGGGTACTTCCGTAACTGATTTTGAATGTATCCGATGAAATTAAAAATAATACGTACCGTTTGCGTCAGAAAAGCAGCACCGATTGTTGACTCTTGATATTCGTGGAACTGACCCTTGACAAAACGTAGAACCAGTGATGATTTTCCTGAAAAATATCACAAATCTTGCAAATTTCTAATAAAATGAGTACTTGGTTTGTAGACCATAAAAAATTTTCTTCTAACAATTAGAGAAGCTAAATGATTCTCGTGTCAGATGAAGAGCAATGCACAGCTATGTTTAGCCTTTCGTGTCGTTTGCAAAAGTTCTTCAAACAAGTTACCGTGGCAGAGTCGCTCAAAAAAAGGCTACTATTTTGCAATTTACCATTTGCCCATATATGAAAAAAAAAACGTCTTCCTTATTTAGATGTTGAGATTTTTCGTAATTCCAATAGGCAAGAAACTGATCTTCTTCCAGTGCAGATGCAGTGTCATAACAACTCAACCACTCAACTTTCAAGTTGTTTCTCAATCGTGAACAATCTCATTTTACTTAACAGTTAAAGACTGATTACATGGCAAAACCCGCACACAAAGACTGGTACAAAATAACAATGTAGCATAATTCGTAAAAGCTAAGAGAATACGCGACAAACATAAACAAAACTCTGCCGATGAAATTGCAGCTCCTAGCGGGTTGTAAATGTAAACAACTATGACCTTCGCGTTTACCTACTGTTATGATACTTACGTTCAAAGTTGAGGTTCATATGACACCAATCGATATTCCAGAAACATCATAAACCAAGGACCTACCGACTGCACTTTCGCCGAGCAAGACCAGCTTGAATTGGCAAGTCTTGTTGGCACCGCCAGGACGAGGAGCAGGCGCGGATCGGTTTGCCATCCCACTGAACTGTGATTTAGAGATTTGAAGTATATACTGGGTAAAAACCATAACAATGAAGTGCTTCCACGTTGCATTTGAACAAGAGTAAAATCGTCTCTCGTTATGATGAGATGTGAGCAGTTAGAAACTCCAAAAGTTTGAAAATGAAAAGGGATTGACGGAACCCTGCCAAACTACCCTTTTGCAATGAAAAACAACAAAGGGAACGTCAGAAACAACCAGCTCCCGTGATGACACAGAAATCGAGCCAGTTTTCTCTGCGTATCCGCCGACGATCCCCGTCTGGCCTGAGTATCAGCTGACACGCCTCCCTATCTTCAGGGCATTCAATCCAAGACCCGCATTTCATCTTTACGATGGAAAATTTTGAGCGGAACCGCGAACATATTCGTCATTTTTTACTTGTTTGTTTTGTCCATTCCCTGAGAATCGATACAGACATCGCTCCAGGAGTATACAGCGCTGAGTGTAATGTTCAAACTTCTACGCACCCTCCATTCCATGGTCAATTTTCTTTTTTATCTTGTCTGCAACTTTTCTAATCTTGTTTGAATCTTCACTGCAGTACTTCCAACAGCAAGTCGTAAGATATTTTAAACCTTACTCAGTTTTGCAAAAATGTGCTCGAATTTATCGCTTCTCTACATTTTGAAATTTTTGCTTTAGCTGGGAAGATTATGCATGATGCTCTGCAAACTTATTGTTAGCTTTTTGCCAATTATTTTCTTGGTTCAGCAATTACCTTAATGTTACTGAGCTTTCTATTCAAAACTCAAGCACTGCCAAAATTTTCCATTCAAACTCACCCGAAACTGAGGAGCTTGCAAGCGAATATTTCTACTGTTGGACCGATATCTCCATCCAGAGCTGCCCAAGATAAGTACATTTCTGAATTTTTAACTTTTGTTCGTGCTTCCTTCTTCTTTTGTAACAATTGTTAAGTATGAAACTTTATATGCATTTCTGCTATGTATTAATATGTAGTCAAGAATTGTTTTTGCATTGACCAAGAGCACGAGTGAAAAATCAGTGCTTTTTCCCGAGTTTTTTTTTTGTAGCTTCACGGTGAACAGTACCACCCTTTTTTCTGATTATTGTATATGGCTATTGTATCTTCAATTTGTACTAAATTCTCTAGGTTAAGGTTCAAGCCGCACAGATCCTCTTCAATTTTTTCCCGTTTTACTTCAGCTCACAAAAAATTAAGAGATCCTTTGAAGGCTTCATCTCTGCTCCTAAAGTAAGAACGAGGCACAATACTTTCAAATCAAGAAGTGCTCCAACAATGGGTTGCAATTTCTAAAAAGTTGCTACTGTACATTGTCTTTGGCTCAATCATCAGTTCTGTTTTCACATTTATAATATCTCTATGACATTCCGTTTTTTCTGCATCACATAATTGTGAAGGTCTTATGGAAAGCTTCATCAGTTTTGATTATCAGGCTCTTTCGCTTACTATATTCGTCAGAAACCTCATTGTTGTAATGCAAAGATATTTTGCCCTCCTTCATAGAGTTCTGTTTGTGCAGTATCTTAACACACCTTTATTTTTCATATTATTACCTCTAATTTGATTCACACTGCAATATTTCTTCGGCGTATCGTTTATCGCACCATTTTCATATCATTATAACGCCATTATGTCTTTTTGTCAATCCCTTATCAATTGGCCGCTTGCATCATGGGGCTTATCAACACCTTTTGTGTGTTGTTGTTACTGCTGACTATGATAAGTCACTCATTATCTTTATGTTTGCGGAAAGTTCAACCTTTATCGATCATAAGTTAATCTAAACCTCAGCTTACATCTTGTCTTCCTTCTTATGTCTAACACTGTCTCTTACCTAAACAAAGTCTCTCTTCTTATGCCTGTCAGCTAGCACTTCAGAACTCGTATCATCCAATGTTAATACGTTTGCAATCTTATTGTAAGTGAATGATCAGTGTCGGATATGTGGCAGTCATGCAGTGAAGATTCGTGTAAGACAATGCAAACCCCAGAAATTTTGGTTCTGATTTTTCGTTTTTGAAGTGTCAATGAAGGATATAAGGGTCATATTTACTTCGCACGCAATTTTGTGAAGTATCAAAGTTGGGCACGCGCCATACTTGATCCGCTTGATCCGCTTCATCCACTTCGCCATTGGTCAGTTTGCTGGTTCGATCAATAGCGAGGTGGATGAAGCGGATCGAGCGAATCGAGTATGGCGCTCGCCTTATAGGGTACTATTCGTTCCATACATACCATTGCGGTGCGAACAGCACTTGCGCGTTAACAAATATGCATGTCTATGTGATGCCGTCATTGCATGTGCAATATGGCCATAGAGTGCAGCGCAGATTTTGGAGGCAGCTTGCAGTTTCGTACATGGAGCTTACAAATGAATTCTGAATTGTAGGGCCATACTTAAGGCATGTCCACGCAACAACGCTAAGATCCACTTGCCGAAAATTTCATCTTCAAGCCTTCTCTAGTACCGTACCCAGCGAACGACTTGCATCTTTTTGTACACTCTCGTGGGACCCAGCACCTTCGTGATGCGTCCCCGCAAGTCAATGCTAGTCGTTTGCGAAATACGGTACTAGGCGCGGCTTTAGAGATGAATTTCTCTGCCATATCATTTACTGTCAGGCAACTTCTTTATTGAATCCTCATAATCTGTTTTGAGGAGAAAGCTCGACCTAAAAATCTGTTTTGAAATTGTCGTATTTAGTTTTGGCCCTCAAGGCAAATTGTTTACCTGCAACTTCTGTCCACTCCGCACTGTGAAAAAATTTGTTGTGGTATGTTCGAGTTTCTTCAGCCGAGATATCAAAATTCTGGGGTATGCATTGTGAAAAAGCGCTAGTTTATTCCAAACTTGTTTGTAGTAAATGTAGTTCTTATTTCAGATGGTGCGGTGGGAGGGTACACAACGAATAATTCTGCTAGGATGTGGTTCATTCAATCCGCCAACGATCATGCATCTGAGGATGATGGAAGTTGCTCGCGATTACCTGGAGAGAGAACTCAAATGTACGGTTTTGGAAGGTTTGCTGAGCCCAGTGGCCGATTCATTCAGCAAGCCGAATCTTGCATCTGCAATCCATCGCCTGGCTATGGTAGAAGCGGCCACTGCGCAGTCTTCGTGGCTCCGAGCTGATGGTTGGGAATGTGGACAACAAACATGGTCAAGGACGTTGGCAGTACTACAACATCATCGTGATGAAGCACAGCAGAAGCTACAGAAGGAAGTCCGAGTGGCGTTGGTGGTTGGTGGAGATGTTGTGGACTCCTTTACTCGAATCCTTCCGAATGGCGATAATCTGTGGCACCCCGACGACATTCGAGACATCATCACAAAGTTTGGCCTCATTGTTCTCACCAGGGAAGGTGCCAATCCCATGGGAACTCTCAAATCCATGCCTAATTTGAAAGATGTTGTGGACCAAGTTCTTTTGCTATCCGATGATGTGTGCCCTTGCAGTGTTAGCTCTACCAATATACGTAAAGCTTTGGCAGCTAACAGATCCATCATGTATGCTACACCGTATCCTGTTATCGAATATATACGCAAACACGGTCTTTACGCTCAAACAAATGCTAATACTACCCATCATTTTACAATACCTTCTAAGTGACTATTCACCTTCATTCCCCTATCTGTCCAACTATTTGATTCACTAGTCACAATTTGGGCATTGTGCATTGGCATTCTGTATAGCATATAACGAACCATTTTCGATGACCAACTGTTCTTAGAAAAATTAGAAGGCTAATTTGTGTTCTGGGTGCACAGTGCAAGCCTTGAAAGTTGTTACGTAGATATAAAGCTTACAAGTGAATGGTCAGAAGTCGAAGTGGGCAATTCAAACAAGCTGCATACCATTCGATGCAGCATAGAACGCTGATTTCAAATCTGTCTTCCATATGTGCAGAGCGCCTTTGTAGGCGAAGCTATGAGCAGCGTTACTGCGAGAAAATCGTACACAAAAACTGCGAAATTAGGCACGTTATTGCCCTTCTAGCCCACCTCTAGGTACGATCCATATGAAGTGACCTAGCTGCATGTTTTGGTCCAACACTGAGCCGAGGATGGCTCTGTACGGCAAATTTGACCTTCACACGCACGATTTCTTAACAAAATAATGGTCTTCAACGGCTTATAACGCAGATAAGGAAGACAGATTTAGGGTCAGCGTTCTATGCTGCATCTAATGTGCAGTTTGCCTATACCGGCCACTTCGTTTTCTGACCATTCCCTTGTTAGTAGATTACGGTAGATATAGTGTCCTTGCGTTGGTAACAACATCTGCGCGTAAACATAGCAGTATACAGCCTGTGTCAGTGCTGTCGTATCATTCATAGCAGATCAACACGTTAAGAGACGGTAGAAAGGGCTTATGAATTTAAGCATATGGTAGAAGAAACCGTTACTCATTGACAAAACTGTAGGTCAAACTATAGGTGGCTCTCTTTCACAAAGATCTCACTTCATGCATGTAAGCTTGTAACAAGAAAAGTTTACAATGAAAAAATGTACCAAAAAGGGCGGAACTATATCTGATAAAGTACCACGGAGCCACTTTTGAGTTGAGCGCTTCATTGGCCATTTTCACGCGCAGATATTGTCGTCACCGCAAAAGCACTGTGTTGTCGATTGCGCAGTATAAATAGGATGTTGCAGTGATTGCGGAGAGGCTCCTCCAACTTCTTTGCCTTCTTTGTTTGATTTTACTGCAGTCCATTATTGCTGCTTAGGGCGCATGAAACTATCGTTTATTCGTTGACCATAACGACTGCTGACCGCGCCGCGACCGCTGCGCGTGCATGATGTTTTCGTAGAAAAGATGAATAGAAAGAAAACAGAGGATTTTTCTCATCTTTATAATGTAGAAAAGAAACAAAGAATTCTTCTCATCTTAAGCCACGGTCCAACTTGTCACTTTTTCGCAAGTGTAGAAGGCACGCGTCGCAGTCGCCACGCGGTCGGCAGTCCGTACGGTCAACGAATGAAGATATATGAAACGCTATGTATCGTCGATTCGTTTACCGCACGGACTGCTGAAACGCTGTGGACCACGCGCGGCGCGGCTAAATTGTTGCGAGGGCACGATTTATACAATGGCGGATTTGAACTGGGGCAAGCTTTTTAGCTCGCGGTGCGTGCTCAGCAATGATGTCCAGTCCGTGCGGACAACGACTCGCGATGCAAAAGAATTTTTGCATAGTTAAGTACGAAGAGTGCATTTTTTGCTCCAGTTTTTACTGCATTTGCTCAGTACGTGTACTCTGGAACTCAATCATGGTTCACTCAGGTCATCTCAGTATTTTTCATCAAAATATTTTGAATTATATTTGAAGCCATAAAGAAGCGTGCATAAGCCGTGGTCGAGCCTCTCTCTGCAAGCAGTTTTTGGGATCTCTCTAGACCTCATCCTTCAAAGTTCTTTCTAAATTACGAGTACTGTGTGGAAAAAGGGTTGTTTGATTGAGATCTACATGTACATAGAAGAACTACACATAAAATAGTAGAGTTAGGTGAGCAGAAACCGAAATTGCATATAAAAGGAAAAATAAGAATGACTAGTCCATATCGTGAAAGTTCAGGCCCAATGGAAAGTGTTTGTTTACGTTATCTTTAGATCGAATGTATCATCATACTAGTAATCGTAACGGTAGCGTGCAGCCTTACACAATGTCTACATTATATCATTCTTGATATTTATACCAATAGTGCCAATGTTGCTTGATGGCATTTTGCCTGTTGTGTGGGCATTACATTGTTGTGCGAATAAAACAATTGATCTTCCGTGAGTACGGTTTGACGAAGAAGTGACTTGAAAATTTTTCTATGAGATGACGTTCTAAGTAGTTGTAACGGCCGCAAAGTTCTTTGAACGAACGAATATCGAATAATCGGTTTTTGAAGCATATTTGAAGAAATAATTACTTGATTTGCGAGTTTTGAATTGTTCAAATTCGAATATCCTAGTCTTTTAAAAACGCACATGTGTTAGTTATTTTGACCACTTGCTGTTGTCCTTAACCACGACATCTTTATGATTGACTGTGTCGAATAATACAGTACAAATAAATGAGGCGAAAATGTATGAGGTCGAGGCTAACTGGCGATAAGGGAAGACGATGACTTTGGACGAGGCGAGTCGCGGACGCTGTCTGGATGAAAGTGAAGTTAACAAAGCCGGCCCTCGAACTGCACACGTGTTAACTTTGCAGGTGTGTCTTCGCGCAGCTGCGAATTGCGTGAAGTTTTGCGAAATTCCAGGAATTTCGCGGAATTTTCGGAATTTCGCGATATTCACTGAAATTTGCAAATTTTGTGAGCGGTATTGTACAGCGTATACAGAAGTATATAGAGACTTACAATTGTTAGTTCTACATCCCTCTCCACCTTTCCCCACAGAATCATTTGCCAAACTTCAACTGCCATTCTGTAGGTTGCTTCAACTTACAAGGGAAGCGTGTTTAGTGGAAGTGGCCTTTTCAGAGACCCGTAATGCTTTGGAGAGTATCGCACACTGATTCCAAATCTGACAAGCGCCTCTGGACGCCGAGTTATGACCAGGGTCAAGCGTGTTGATGCGATCCTAGGCCCTCTTTTACGATCCCCCCCCTCCAACATACCCATAACGGCCCTGTCAAAACACTATGATAAAGCTCTCATCCCTATCCCATTACAACCTTTCCCTGTGCCCACGTCTACATGCCAATTCACTTTTCCCGCTGTCTTAGTAATCAGCATGCTCGATTACCCCCCCCCCCCCCCTGTGCCAACTCCCAACCCCGCGATTTGCAAAAAAATCGATAAAATCGATAAGTAGCGGATGATTCCAAAAACTAATATTGTATTCGTAATCAGCATGTTCGATATTACCCCCCTGTGCAAACTCCTAGCCCCGCAGGTTAAACTTTACAAAAAAAATCGATAAAATCGATAAAAGTAATCGATAATTCTGAAAACTAATATTATATAGGCCGTCCGCGCAGGGCGCGGAGAGTGCGCAAGGTGTGTATTGCGCGTCACTCCTCTTTCCTCGTGCACTCTTGCCGCCTGTTTTTCTCTGCGCTTCTTCCAGTCGTGAACTGCCTTCAGTGTACGCAACAGCGTTGCTCTCCGTGCGCAGCGCGGACGGCCTATATTCGCAATCAGCATGCTCGATTACCCCCTGTGCCAACTCCCAGCCCCGTAGGTGAACTCTGCAAAAAATCGACAAAAATCGATAAAATCGATATCGATCGAAGATAAAAGTAGACTGTGACGCTCGCCCCACCCCGAAATGTATGTGTGCCAAGTTTGGTCCGGATCGGTTCAGTAATGGGATTACCTATTCGGAACATACGTACATGCCCCGTAAAATCCAATTGCCCACGTGTCGCTTTGAACACCAAGGCGCGCCGCGGTTGGGAACGTTTGGTCCCGAAGCGCTACAGGCTTTTTGCGAGCGACAGTGAGCGCGCACCCTTTCCACACATATTTTTTACTTGTGAAGGGAGCTTTCGTCAAGATATACTTTGCATTGACGAGAACATCATGAAAGCCAAAGAGAGATTTCCTGGAATATAGTGAACGCCGACAGTTGTTCGCGACGAGTGCTCGCTTACGCTGGTGTTCAAGGCACGGCGCGGGCAATTAGGTTTTACGGCGCCTATACACACATAAATACAGACAGACATACATACAGACAGGCAGACATACATACAAACAGACATTCAGCTTTTTATATAAGATAAATCATTCTCCAGGACAGATAATAAACTCTTCTTCCGTTTATGAATATTCGGCAAGACTCATTCATGTTTCAGTGGTACAAGTGGAAAGGTATAAGTAATGGTTCTGGAAATTAAAACTGTAATGAACTTTAGACTGTAATGATAGTTTCGTGTTTCGTTCTCGTAGGCGACACTATTTTTTACAGGGACGAAAAACGATACCTTTGAAGCGTAAAATATGTTTTCGACTAAAAAGCTTATTTCTTACCTTTTGCACATATTTTCCTGCGAAAAAAAAAACCGTTTTAGTGCCATCCAGAACGCTGTCAAAAATGTGCATGAGCACGGTACTTTGAAAATTCCTAACTATAGTCAGGAGAAGATTGAGATGCTCCAGTGAACAGGTTTCGTAGTATAGTGCCCAGACAACTGAAGGTAGAAGTTGCAGCCACACAGGAGCAGCTAACGATTTTAGGTGCGATTCTAGAAGCCAAAAACAGATTTTTGAGCTCAAAATTCCTTAACTCATTGGAAACACAACGAGACAGCCTAAAATTTTTTAGGAAAGAAAGTAGGAGGATGGCGTCGTAGTGCAGTAAAATTACAGCGAGCAGGCCTCCATAGCGGCGAAAAAATTCAGATGAGACCCAGATACGACCCCCTTTTTTCATTTTTGCCATATATTAAATTAAAAAAAAACAGGCTATGAAATATAACCAACTTTTGCACAACTATAGGAGAGCATCTCCAAAGTACAGGAAAATTGTATGGGCCCCTGAAAGACATAACAATTTTTTTAAAATGTTATCGATGGTCATCGTTGGTAGAGATGAGCGCTTCTGTCGAGAGTGTGAGACTTCAGTGATGCTTCGAAACCAAGATTATCAGGCCAGTTGGTACATCTAATTCTTGTCACACATGCGCGCCTAGTGTTTGAGCTTCTGAAAGAGTCTTTAGAATCTTCGGTCATACCTGTGGCCGGAAAGTTCGATCCCCGTCTGCGACACCTTTTTACAGGAA